CACTTTGTTATTAAGAAACAGCAGGTTGGTCAGGTATATGTTGGCCATTGTACATTCATTAGATGCAGCAATCATCAGAAATTTGCCAATTTTTCCAAACCATTCTCATCTGTGATTTGCATGTCAAATACTGAAAAAAAGATTTTTTTTTAAATACATTTTTTATTAGGAAAAGCTGCCTGAATCCTTCAAAAAATTGACAGATGCCACTCAAGCATATAAATACGAACTTGAAGGTCGAAGGTACTGGATTAATGTATTCTTTTTAACATTAGCAGTTGCATGAGCCAAGTGCAGCTATTTTAAGATCTGTGTGGTGTTAACAGAGCTCAATACTTTCTGATGCTGAAAAACCGGGTTACACTCTGTGTGGCCTAATGGTGACTGGCACATTCATTGGCAATTCAGAGCAACTGATGCACCTTTGACTTTTTTTTTTTTTTTTTTTTTTTTGGACTGTGAGACGATTTCCATGCATCTCCAGAGAAAGCTCTTGTTACACATTGGGCTTCCCGTCTACTAATCAAATCGCAACTCATGCCAATTTATAAAAGCACGGTGTATGTCATATTTATCTAAAAAAAAGAAAAAGCTGGTCTGGTCTTAAAAAGGGCATGTGCCAGTGTAAGCCCCTTGTTAATCTTCCTTGGTGTAATGGTGAAGACATCCAATATGCAATATTACTTCGAGGAAAGAGATCAAGCTTATATGTATTGCCGACCGAGAGTTCATTAAATCCACTCAATTCACGCAGCAGATTTTCTTCTTTGTCTCTAAGCTCCTTTTATCCAAGGAGGGTTTTGCTGAGCACGCATGCTCTTTTCCAGCTAAACCCTGTTCCTCATTAGCACCAGAGCATGTATTCACACCTGGGATCCACCAGAGTCCGAGCACAAATCTTTTACTGTTTGCAAATTAGTGTCTCTGTTAAAGTCTTCATAGGTGAAAGACCTTGCTTCCAATGTATACCCACCCAAACTTCATTGTACAATTACAGTCGCAAACCATATCAGTTCCCATATGGCGTTATCTGTCTTGTTTGTGAAGAGAGGCACCGACGCTCCCAAAACTTATAGATTCAAGTATTGACCCTCTAGCCTTCAAAAAGAACGGGAGGAAACATTCCTCTCCGACCAGAAACGGTCCATCCAAATTGCCGTGTCTCATGTTAAAGATACAGCGCCTTGTGATGCATACACGTTCATTTAGGTTTAGGTTGTTTACGCTGTATCACCACATCTTTTAATTTTATTAATCATGCATCATAAAGCAACGCATTGTTCTGCAAATGAAGGAACTTTAAAAATGTTCAGGGTTTCTTATTATTTACAAATACTATGTGTACTTTGATGCACATAAACAAAACCTGGTGAAACCAAATTGCCTTTGGAAAATCGAAAATGTCCACCTACTTGATAAGCATATGATTCACAGAATTTCACCCAGATTAAAATCTCTGTTCCTATCTGCTTTGATTTGTGTGTGTTTGGGTGGAAGAGGAAGAGGGCAGAGGGAATTAGGGTCAAAACAAATGATGGAATGAGTAATAGGTTTTAAGGGCCAGCATATTAAATAATCTCTGTGACTAATCCATGAATATGTGAGCATGTTCGTTGTAATCTGCCTGTATGTCAATGTTTGCCTATCCATTGGTGCGTACCTGTGTGGAACTGTGTGTGTGTGAATATATGTGTTCATGTGCATGTTTTTTTTTTTTTGGTGCTTTTTTTTGTGGGTGTGTGTTTGTAGAAGGGCTGTCAGTTTCAGTCTGGTAGTCAGCATAATTAGAAGTCTCCTCTTCTCCTTTTTACAATCCTTTCAGATCCTTCCCTTTTTATCCAACTGACCCTTCCCATTTCCCCTCACTCACACACTTTCACCTCCATCCCCGTGAGTTATGAACCTCCAATCAATCTTTCATTCTTGCACGGTGATGAACGGGGAGGAACCTCATCTTCTCTCCTCCTTTGGTAGAGTTCAATGTCGTAACACTGTGTTTTCACTGGAAGCTATAGAGAATCGGGCCGATTTCTGAGCTTTAAAAGGGTTTCATAATGGTGCCAATGTGAATAACTGAAATGTTGGTTAAAAGGTTAAGCAAAGGTTTAAAACGATCTTGTCTGCTTTTTAACTTTGTTAAGGTTTATGTTTGGCATCCTCCATTCTGAAAGCTGAATGCTCTCTTTTACAGGAATAGAATATAAGACTTCCTGGAAGACTCAGTTGGTGTGATGATGGAGGGAACTTAGTTCAAAAACCTTGAGACTGGGGATGTTTTAGGTTGTTTTACCTTCCAGAGGAAAACCAATCTAAAGCATGCAACCAGAGATGCAAAGGAATGACCTATTTCAAATGGCCCAGGTGACGTCTGGACAAAAAAGTTCACAGACGCTCTCCATTTAATGTGATCCTAGGCTTTTGTGCGAAGAAAATCAACAACTGTTTCTCTAATTGAAAAGATGGGTTATTCTAGAAAGGATTGACTTGGAATGAATGAATAATAATGCAAATATCAAATTTGGGTTTGCAAAGAATTTAGAAAACCATGTATGCTTTCCTTTTCACAATTCATAATTCTGCTATATTGCATTACCTACAGGTAAATTATTAATAAAAATACATAGAAATGTGTGGTTGCAACATAACACATGTGAACAAATTTAAGGGGTATAAATACTTTTAAAAGACTCCACTTAGAAATGAGCAGGCAAGCAGAGCTGGAAGCAAGGTTGTTATTTTGAAGGTGTGCTTACCTAAAAAGTGTAATCTTGGTCTTTATAGCTTATATTTAATTGATTCTAAAGGAATCAGCCTTTAATTGCTGCGCAGGCTGCTGTTGGCCATTACTTGTTCCTGTGATTATTCTGAAATCGTTTACCTGGACAAGTTAGACAAAGACACACACACACACACACACACACACACACGCATGTACGTATATATAATGTACATAAACATGCAGGTTTTTTGGTTTGGTTTCCGTCTTGGATAATTGGTTTGAAAAGCATCCAGAGCGATCGCCCTGCTGTCCCTGTGGCCCCAGCTGCCAGGGTAAATAATGAGCCTCATAAACATGAAAGGCAAGGGGATGATCATCCTGATTTGAGCTTTGCACTCAGAGGAGATCAATTAGGGCTTAGACATTCAAGGGCTTAAAGCATACACTAGGAGCAATTATCAATTAAACACAACCATTTAAAGGTAGGATGGCACCAAAAGACCCTGTTGCAGCACTGCAAATAATTTTCCAAAGTTTTTGGCTTTGTTCAGTTTCTGGTGAAACCCGTGATTTTTGAAATTCGATTGTGAACATACATAAAGTATGATACAGCTATGGAAGCTAAGCGCTAACATATTTAGCACTTTGTAGCTGGGTACCATTGTGTCCTTGAACAGAAATACACTAAATCCCTTCCAGTTCCACAGATTCCCCTTCCTGAAGCTTTCTCCTGTGTGACTCAGCATTGCTGTGCAGGAACTGAAGAGTTTAATCATCAGGAATCAATACAGTGTTGTAAAAAAAACACACACACACACACACACAAAAAAAACCCACTATGGACAATCTTCCCAGGTGGACAAAGTTTCCATCTTGCACCTGTGCGATTGTTTAAAAGATCGTTCATATGAAAGTGAACAAATAATAAGCCTGATGTAAAGGAAATCAGCTTACAATTTAAGCATTTAGTTGGCTATGTAACGCAAAGTGCTCCAAAAGAAAAACCTCACGTTTAATTTAGTACATTACAAAAAGTGTCGATACTTTTGATACATTACAACCAGAAACCTAATTTTGATTTCTTGGGAGACTTCTGGATACAAATAAGTTTTTATAAATATGATTTTAAGGATCAGATTTTGTGGAACATCTGGGAGGCCAGTGATTGTGATGTGTGAGGTGAGGTGGTAAAATAACTTCATGATGTTCTGCAGAATATCACCATGCAGGACAAAGTATATTTGAAATATTTTTCTTTTAATGTTTTTAGATAAGGGTGGAATATATATTGTATTTGACACACATCTCCAGTTTCACTGACATTTTGATGTTTTCACTCTGCATGTTTTCACGTCAATAGGCTACTCCACTAGCAATAACAAAGGGATAGTCAGGTTTCTATTTCCCAGAGGCGAACAGGGCGAGGCCTAGACTTAGCTTGGGTTAGTTTTAGATTTCACGTTTACAGAAAGCTGGAAAAGCTCAGTGGTGACGGCTCCCAGCCAGCTCTAGGAATGGGGTTTTAGAATCCTATGCTCAATGAGACTACCAGCTTGTGTTGGTGATGCACTAAAACAAATCCTGCCCCATGGAACGATTTTTGTTGCAGGCAGCATCTCTTACTTTCAGATATGTGGGGAGCTAAACTTTAAGAAGCTAAGGGAAATTTGTGTCTTGGGTAGAGCTTTTCTAAATGCTTTCCATTAATGTTTCATACAGAAGTATAACATTGACCCACTTAGTGTTATTCATGCTTTGACTTTCTACTTCGTTTTTTCAATGTCTCCATGTGAAAAATGTATAGGCAGTATTTGAAGATGTGCAGATGTGGGCATTCATGTAACTCATCAGTCCTTGTTATTTTTACATTACATGTACATTGGAATCACTATTGCAAAGTAGTTGCCAATGATCCATTTTTTATGGAAGTGCAACAGCAATTGATCTACTTACCAAGAACTTTTCCAGCACCTCTCTCATGGAGAAAATAACAAGTAAATCTAAAACTAAATCTTAATCAAATGGGGACATACAGTAGGAGTGTCACGGTCAATCAATAAGCACATTCAACACCCATTGGATTTGCCTCGCAGTGCTAAGACAAAAGAGATTGCAGAACTTCAGCCGTTGGTATTTCCACGTGTCGGATTCGATACAAGTCAACGCAGCAGGCTCAAAACGACACCGCAGTCGTGGGTTGCCGTTAAGTCTGTGAACAAGTAAGCTTGGTGTAATTCATTATGAGTATTTAATAATAAGTGTTGTCTCTTTATATTCACAGGCTTCATCTACACCTGTGGGGGTACACTGAAAGGACGAAATGGCAGTATAGAATCGCCTGGTTTCCCCTACGGCTACCCCAATGGAGCAAACTGCACCTGGGTTATTGTTGGGGAGGAAGGAAGTAGAATCCAGCTCATCTTCTTGTCATTCGCCATAGAAGAAGAATACGACTTCCTGTCCTTGTACGATGGACACCCCCACCCTGCTAACTTCAGAACAAGGTAGGAAAGGTGCTCTCAGTTTTAGTTAATTAATGTCTGAGCAACACTAAAACCTGGTTTAACAGTTTTGGATTCCTTTGCATGATATGTTTTGGTGGATTACCTTAATCATGGGAAGTAACACCGTTATAGTGATAGCTGACTGTTTACTTTTTATTTCACAAGCTTTAGCATCATCTAAGCAGTTCCAAAATGACCCCAAAACAATCTTTTAAAATTTGGTTATGCTGTGAGATAATCCAAATGATTCTGTTAAACAGATTTTTATTTTTTTTTTTTATCACAAAACATCATGTATAGAAGTGTAAATTAATTGGATAATATGCATTTTTTTTAATTTAAAGTTTAAAAGTTGTACTGATAGACACTGTTTAAAGGTGCATGTTGCTTACAGCTACAAGCGAACAGACAGAGAGAGAGAGAGGGGAAAAAAAAATCTAATTTCTGCTGGTTTGTTTTTCCCAGTCAAAGCCATTAGAGGAAAATAAATGACCCACAACAACAGGTTGCGGCCCTTTTGTGGCGCACGTTTCCCTTGGCTCAATCAGTGCCACTGTGGGTCGCCCTTAATTATGGAATCATTTTATTGAGTTCCTTCTGTGAGAAACACAATAACCAGAATTAAAATCATTCATGATACACGATAGCCCTCACCTTCCCTTATGATTTTATCTGCCAATCAATAAGAGCCTAAAAGCCTTTGTGCTCGACTTTATTAATTTAACTCTTGAATTGAAAGATCAAGTTAATAATTAAGCTGTAAATTAGGTTATTTTTAAATCACTTTTGAAACACCCTGTTGTGAAAACTGACTAGTAAAAAAAAAAAAAAAAAGCCCTCACAATCTCTCAATACAATTACATTTTTATTAGGGGATTTCCCCTGCAAGAAAGTGGTCATTGATATTAGATTTTTAATTATTTGTCACAAAAGCTGCTGGCTGCTCATCTATAATTTCCAGCAGCCAGGTCTTACTTAGCAAGCAGTGGCGTGTGTTTAAAACACACGTCTACATTATGCCAGCGGTAATTAAACTGTACTAAATTTGGATGTTCGCTATAGGGCCGAACAACAAACGTATACTGTCAAAACATGATACAACTTTATACTAATTTGCTGTTTTGTTTGATCCTTGGAAATAAAAAAAGATAAAAAAATCTCCTCAGATGTGCTCAGAAGTCATTAAACATGTAAGCTAGAGAAATGAGCAACCAACTGAGATTTAGACTCTTAATTCCATTTAGGATTATGTGGATGTGAAATTCCACGTGGAACTAAATCCTGGAATCAAGTGTATCCAACCTTAAAGCAAAGCAGGCTCAACACAAGACATGCTTCTCCTTGTTCTTTTTCGTCAAGTAACCTGCTTCCGCTGCACATATCTGATTTTTTTTTTTTTTTATTTTTGCTGCAGAATGCTCTAGCTGATGCTGAAAAACAAACAAACAAAAAGACGTTAACTGGTTGAAAATAACAAATACATTTTGACATGTAAAAATTAAACACTACTCTTATCATTAGTAATTTCTTTTTATCTTGTAAAGTACTTCTGTCGCATGAATTTTCATAATATTTTTGCTGCATTACAACCACACACCTGATTGTATTTCACTGGGATTTTTATATGATAGAACAACACAAAGTTGTGCATAATGAAAATAGAAGGTCACTAAATTTTAACTTTATTTTTTTCTATAAATAAAAAGCTTAAAGGTTGGTCCCCTCTGAGAAAATATCTAAATAAAACTGCTGGTCTTTTGGTATCATGTCTGTGCCAGACTTGCACATCTAGAGATAAAAAAAAAAATAAAAATGCTGCTACTTTTCAGCTTATAGCTTAAGTCCAGTCAGATTGGATAGCATCTGAAAATGCCGACTCTCATGCAATAGTTCCCTTTTATAATATTTATGGAGAGTTTGACAAATTTGTTTTGTCAACAGACTTTCCCACCTGAACAATAGACTTCTGCACTTCCTCTAAATCTAATGTATGACTCTTACCTGCTTCTCTGATTAGTGCTTTCTTAGCCTGTCACTTCGGCTGTCATGTCTTGGTAGGTTCACAGTTGTGCCATGCGTATTGCAGTTTTGGGTGATGGGTTGAACAATTCTCCATGAGCTATTAAAAGCTTAGGATATGTTTTTTATAACCCAACCCTGCTTTAGTCTTCTACTGACCATTAACCTTAATCTGTATGCTGTGATGTGTATAATGCTGCTTGTTCATTCGATGTATGTTCTCTAACATACATCGAATGCTTTCACAGATCTGTTGTATTTACGTTGAAATTAACATGCAGACAAGTTTTCTATTTACTAATTACGTTACATCTAAGCGAAGTTGGTTGTAGCTGATTTAAATGGGACTGAATACAACTGCATACCGAACATCCACGTTAGATTTAGGGGAAAAAAAAAAAAAAAAGTAGAAAACTATGTTTATTTCATATTTTTTGTGCTCATGTTCCACCTTTTTTTTTTTTTTCGAAAATTTTCCCAGCACCGATAATAAAACGTTACCAACCTGCTTCTATGTATGAAAGAGCTTTTATTAAATTTCAACCTGAGTGTTAGAGAAAGGCCAATAAAAGAAGGCCCTTCATGAGACCGCCGGCATGCCTGACCTAGAGGCCTGTGACAGTCTGTTATCGAGGTGTGAAGAGTCGCAGATGACATGGAAGGATCTCAGTCTCACTCAGCGTAGATGCCTTCAAAGGTTCGAAAGAGCTGTCCTGGTAAAGTGTTCGGCTAAATGAATCATTCTCTGTCGCGGGCAGATATATTTTTGTATCAGGTGATGACGTTGCCTTTCACGAGACACTTCTCACAAATGGGCTACGGGACACGTCACTTACGGTCAAGTGTCAGCCTCCAAGTTTAGCCGCTGTTAAGAAGTAGCATCTACTTCTTCTAATTTAGAGCATCTAAGTTTTCAGTTTCTGATGGAAAAAAAAAAACTTTTCCTGTTGCATTTGGTAATTAAAAAAATGCAAAAGAGAGAGGAGAAACTGGTAATATACGGATCTGAAATGTGGGTCAGGTTTGTGAAGGAGCTGTTTTGCTCCTGTTTTAATTATTAGGAGTTAAGTTTTAGGTGAGGTAATTGCTTGATCTGTCAAGCACCACATAGTTACTTCATACACTGATGCCCAATGCTGGCATTAGTAATCAAAGTGTTAATGGTAATGTACTGGTTCTGTCAGAGAGAAATGGGTTTGGACCTCATTTGTCAGGAACCTGTCTCTTAATATAGACTTTGTCAAGAAACATAATGCTTAAAAGCAAGCGATCCCTAAACAATTACTAATAAATTGTTCTTCCTCATGATGGGGAAGTAATTGGAAGTTGATGTTTCTGGATACTTTCACTGTATATGTGTACTGACAGGCAAAATGAGCTTGGTCAGGATTGAGCAGATAAAGTGGTATAAAATGCTTTTTTTTTTTTTTTTATCACCAATGAGCGCAGGGCTCTGGAGAACTACTGTTTTCAGCCATTGTCACAGTTTGAAAATCAATAAAATATATTCTCCTCTTCCCTGAATTTACTGCCATTCCCCATCATGATGGACTGGAGTCCAGACCATTTAGTCACAGAGCAAATGGCAGCGTACCCTCCACACTGGTTCCCAGTATGTTCAGGAGTTTATTCCTTGAAAATGTATCCCTTTGTGGTTATAACTACACTGAAGCTGCAAATAAGATTGCCATATTCTAAGATGAAAGTGGAAGTGGTGAGCTAACATAAAAGCATTGTTTAAAAAGTAGTACCATGGCTTATGCTTCGTATTTGGAGTTCCCTATAACCAGAGAGTTTAAGATTAACAGAAAAACTTTCAGCTTCAAATCAGTTAATAATCAGTCAATGTATACCTGCACTATAACTGATCAATACATGCATATAGGCAAAACCTGGAAAGCAAATTGAATCAGTTTGTGTTTAACTGGCGATGCAAATAAAACTGTGCGTTGCGTTAAAATGTCTGAGGCCCTGAATGGAAGGTGTTGCTACACACACACACACACACACACACACACACACACACACACACCACCTTACCAAAGAGAAAGCTTCCGTAAAAATCAGTAAGTCTACAGCTGTGTTGGTCAATTAAAGAGTTTATTTCTCACCAGCAGCTGTTTTTACTGTTTCATAGTCTAGTTTGTCCATCAAAACAATATCCAAAAACAGGTTCAATAGTAACAGTTTCTTATAATTTTGTTGTCAACCAACACCTGTTTCCTGATGGAAATTCCTCTTTCATTTTTATACAAATTCTAGATAAGAAAATGCCATATTTGAGACATAACCAATCTCTCATTGCTTTTAAACTGGATGCAAACTTTAATGAAATGGAGAATAATTACATATTTTAAAGAACCTGTGGCCAGCTATATAATATAATATAATATAATATAATATAATATAATATAATCGTGCATTTATTGCATCTCAACTAACCAGTTCCAGTGTCTTTTCGCATTCTTAGCTCAGACTTGATTATATTTTTGAAAATGCTCCATCAAGAACAGGCAGAGGATGCAATTCACTTCTCACTATTATGTCTCTAGAAATAAAGGGAGTCATCCGGATGTTTGGTCTGTTGCTGAAAAGCAATTCTCTCATCATGTGAAATGAACTGTGCTCGTTTGGTTCAGCAGGCATCATTTTTAATCAACCAGCTTCACTAATCAACCTTTTCTTGGACAATCCAGTGGCTTTTAGGCCTCAGATACCCCTGCAGAGTTAATGTAAAAAAAATTTTAAAAAAATGAATAGAGTTGAATAGACTACAAAGGGAATCGGAGGTGGATTTTGGTGCTTTCCATCTGATTACTGTTTTACCAGGCGACATCCAAGAGAACGGAGGCGAAGTGAGAAGGTTTAAGATGCTCTCTGTATCTCTATTGGTTTATTAGGATTTTCTGTTCATCCAAAATAGCATGGAATGATGTTAGGATTGCGTTCACGTGTGTTGTTGTTGTTGTTGTGTGTGTGTG